TCTGTCAGTCTGTGTCTGTCTTCTACCTCCTTCCCCCCCCCCCCCCACCACCACAACAACACACACACACATACACACACATACATCTTTCTTTCCACCCATAATTTTTGTCTGTCTGTCTTACCTTTTCCCTAAACTTAATTACATTTATTGTGTCATTGTGCTTCTCCTTACTTCAACAAACGCCTGAGGTTTGCTGGTGCTCTGGTGTGGTTTGCTCCTTCTTTTGTATCAGACAACTATTGTATTTATCTCTCCTCATCCTTTTTTTGTGGTTTTTACTCTCTTGAAGCAACTCTAATCTTCATAATAATAATAATAGATAGCATTTGTATAGCGCATTTCCCCGCTCAACAGCAAGCTCTATGCACTTTACAATCTATACTATTACCCCTGCAGACCTGAGAGCATTCTGAAACAAATTCAACTTCAGTGCAAGCTGCCATTTATGGGTGCTAAAACACTAACATACTGACAAGATCTTTGGCTGTCTATGGCCGGGTACCCATTCACACCTGGGTGAAGGGAGGAAAATTCGTGTAAAGTGCATTTCCCAAGGACACTACATCAGGCTCAGGGCTCGAACCCCTGAACCAGCAACTTCATGATTACCTGAACCACTAGGCCACTGATGCCACCGCACGTCTTATGATGTAATTGTTCTACAAGTGCCTTAAAAAACTCATACTGAAAAAACAGGTGAAGTTTCTATTTCTCACTGTCTCTCCCACAGACTATGATGGTGACCAGGGCGACTGGGACTTTGACGAGACGTTGCGTCTGCAGCGAGAGACCAACAGCCTGCGCTCCCAGGTGCAGAGGCTGGGGACACAAGTACAGCACTGGAAGTCTGTGGCTGCACAGCTGGTGGGTACACCACTCTGTGGCTTCTCTATATGTGTGTGTTTGTGTATGTGTTTGTGTCTGTTTGCTCATGTGTCTGTATCTGTCTGTGTGTCCATCTGTTTGTGTGTCTGCGTTTCTCTGTGTGTGTTTGGATATGTGTCTGTGTCTATCTGTATGTGTGTATGTTTATGGGTGTGTGTGTGTGTGTATGCCTCTGTATTTCTGGGTGTATATTTTCATGTGTGTTTGTTTCTATCTGTGTAAGTGTGTGTGTGTGTGTGTGTGTGAGTGTGTGTTTGCGTGTGCACCAATATGTGCATGCGCGTGGATATTGAATGTACATCAGTGTGTATGTTTATGTGGTTGAGGGAGTCATGAGGGTAATTGTCACCAAATGTCGGTCCTGTTTTCACAAAACCAACCAAATTGAGTATGGTGAAATCCTCCTTAAATAAGGGATCTTAGCATGTTTGAAGACCATAAACATAAATCTTCACGGAACATGACCCAAAACAAGATTCCCAGCCACTTGGCTGACAATCTAGTCTGGCTTGAAAGTCGTAAAACTTCCAACTTGGCTTGCCGTAAGGCCTGTATTTTTATTTGGTTCCATGATGTTTCCAACGGAGACTTCCTGTAGCTTTGTTTTCTTGTACAGCATGAGGTAGCAGAGTTTTCTCTGTAACTGATGGCTCCGGTAGTGAGAGGCTTGTGCCTGCAGGTGTAGCTTAGCCTCTACACTGCTATGTAGATGTGTGTTCCAACTTTTGTTTTCAAAAACTGCTTCACTGTCATTTATTTTTTCTCCGTCTATGGATGCAGTTTTAAAAGATGTAATAACAGCTTGTGCAGTTGTTTATTCTTCAATAAGGGGAAAGATATGGCTTCTATTTGATTTTCTTGAATAAACATATCTTTTCTGTACAAACGCAGATAGAAATGCCTGAGCAAGAGTAATGAAGAGTCAGAGGTTAATATAATGTTTCAAAACGTGAGAAGAGAATTCTTATTTGTTGTCGGGTGTTTGCAAGAAGATTCATGCAGCTTCATTTTAACTCCTTTAGCTAGCTAATCTGTTCCTTTCAATTTCCCATTTCAGTCCCTGTCAGTAGAAAGAATGCTTCAGCCTGTTAATTGTGTATCATTGTCTTTCATATACTTAATAAATTGTGCTTCTACAATATGCATACACGCTTAATGGTGAGCCTTTCAGTTTTAGTGTGGAGATGAATGTCCTGGCCATGTTAATGCATACCTTGGGGGCAAATTTAAGCTGTGATTAGCAGTTTATCAGTGATAACATCCAGCCTCAATGTTTGCTTGTGGTATTAAGGGTGGACCATGTCTGCTGGCCACCTCTCTGTGTCAACAAGTGACCCCTCTAATGCGGACTGGCGGAGGAGAGGGG